ATACACTCATTACCCACTCATGTCCTGAAGGACATTTAGGTTCTTCTCAGTTCCTAACTATTGTGAATGAGCACTGCTCAACAACTATACCCACAGGGAAGTGAAGCTACCTCCACTCATCAAAGAAGCCTTTCTTTAAAGCAATGGAAGATCACCATGGAAGACTACAACTGGGCAAAATGAAGAGATGAAGATATCCTGGAGAGCCCAGCCTCCACAGATACACCTACATCACAGCCTGTGTATTTGTGAACCATGAAACATTGCTGAAGTGGGGCAAAATACTAAGAAGTCTGCTGTGAAACACTCTGTTCTAGAAATTGTTACAAGTCTGAAACAATACCAATACCAACTGACATATTAACCAAGAAGAGGGAGTCCCCCAGACAAAGAACCACAAGCAATCAATGCCTGCTAGGGGGAGAATTAACTTCATCAAGGGATGAATATCCTTATTGGTTGTACAATGCAACTACATATACACAAATAACAAACAGGAAATCAGCGGATAGTATTTATGTATATTTATAAACATCTCTATCTCTATCTATCTATATATCTACCTGTATCATCTCTACCTATCTCCATCTATATCTATATCATATATATCTATATCTACATATAACAGTAGTCAAAGAAAAATGAGCTATCAGCTTAAGAGAGGGGCTGAGAGAGGCTTAAGACAGGATAGCTTGGAGAGTCAGGAAGGGGGAAAGGGGAGGTATTCTAATTGTATTTTAACTAACAACATAAAAAATGTAGAAAGTCTGCTCAATGATGATTTTTCTATTACTTTCTTTTTTTCCCCAAAGCGGAGGGGGGTTACTCAGGAGATAGGGAAGAGGAAAGAGAGAGCAGAGAGGTAGAGAAGTAGAGGCCAGCCATGACCACGTGGAGAGAGGGGGAAGGGAAGGGAGGAAGGGCGAGGAGAAGCTAGAGGCAAGAGTGTAAGAGAATAAGAGAGAGGAGGAGGAGACAAGCAACCCCTTTTATAGTGGGCATGCCTACCTGACTGTTGCCAGGTAACTGTGGGAGGAGCATACCTGGGTGTTGTCAGATAACTATGGAGGTGGAGTTTAGACAGAATACTAACATTCCCCCGTTTTGGTTTAGTTAAAAGAGAAAAATTAGAGGTCACAGCGAAGCAGGAATAGGGTCGTCGGGATATCTGGCTACTACTTGCTGTCATTAGGGACTACGTGTCTTTAAGGGGAACCTAGAAGAATGGGTATGGAGGATGTTTTTCCAGTCTTAGGAGAGTTGGCTGTTTCCTGCTGTCCAGGGTCTATGGAACAAGTCATCTGAGGATAGGTTAGAAGGAACAGGTCCAGTAGAAGCAGCTGTGTGTGTGACAGGATATGGAGCATCTGAAGATTGCTTCTCTGGAGCTGTTTTGGATGTGATTGGACTTGACAAGATCTGGATGGCATCTATTTGGTCCATGAGAGGTATATCTGAGTGGGTTTCTTGTAGCTTATAAGTTTACAAAAGAGATAACAGCATGAGTTAACAACACGAGCAGTCTTTAAGATGAGCCTTTGTTGGATTGTATAGTGGAATGTTTTATTAGTTAGGCAAGTTTATAGGAACTCAGATAATATTAGGACAGTGGCATAGCAAGAAGAGAAAATATGAAGCCTTTAATTGATGACAACTCAGTTTGGGTAATGAGGTAACAGATAATATCTGTGAAAGCTTAGCTGTCAATGTAGTCAGAAGTCTGAGAAAGAGTAAACAATAATCTACCAGTTATATATTATTTTTTAAAAATGACAGAGTCCACTAGCCAACAGTTTCCATGGTCTCCATAATCTCTTGGGTGAAGTCAGTTTGGCTTCCAAGTGCAGAAGATGCAGGGCTTTTTTCTGTGGAATGGATACGCGTGACATGAGAAATGACTTATCTTGGTTTGACTTAGCTAAATCATTTGACTCAGAGCATCCAGTCTAGCCCACTGTGTTTGTTAGTGACTATATCATCACATACAATCCAGGCTGTATCTTCTAGGTGTCCGGTGTCCAAGTCTTCTGAAACCATCTTGGGTTAACTGTTAGAGGCTTTGGGAATTCTGTCGGCCATAAGCTTAAAAAATACTATCAGCAGACTTCTGACAAGATTGAGAGCCTTAAGGATTGGTTGTAACTGAATAGAATTTAATAGCAGTAGCAAAAGTCTATCAAGACAGAGCCTTTCTTTTCTTGTCTTAAGTAACTTTGGTGGGTTGTATAGGTAGAGAAAAGCACATTTTTTGTATTAGTAAAGAAACATTTGGCTAGGACCAGAATAAGAAAGCTGGATCACACGGCTGGTGAGTTGTTAGGTGGCAGTGCCAGCAGGGTGGGACTTCTTGCTAGTGCCGGAAGTCACTGCCCAGTGTCTCTGGTGGCTAGAGTTTGCAGTGGGTAAGGAAAAGCAAGCATGTCCCATATCACAGCAACATTCATGTTAGTTGTTTTTGTAGCAGAAGGCATCACTAGCACTCATTTTACAAGTCCCAGGCAGAGAGGGAGAAGGAACACCTCCCTCACATGCTCGGGTAGCCAAGCCCTTTGTGTGGATGGTTGTCCACGTGGGGAAGCAAGTCTAGCTGGTCTGATGTAAACCTGCAGATGTCCACTAGAGTCTCAGCAATTCCCCTATTTTGGTTTAATTAAAAAAGAAAAATTAGAAAGAGGTGTGGGGTTGAGCAGGTTTCATAGCTAAGAGAACCTGGGTTGGGGAACAGGCAGAACACATGGAAGGAGTATAACGAAGGTAGATAACTGCTCAAGCATTTGTTTCCATTTACCAGACTGCTGGCAGTATGTGTTAAGACCCCTTAAAATAGTTGGGTCTAGTGTGTCATTACATGGCTACTTTAGTCCATTATCTAGAAGGCATTGAATCCTGACCTTATTGCAGAGGTGTATCAATTTGGAAGGCCTCAAATCAGGCGTTAATTTTAGAGATTTGAGGTTTTTCAGTAGACAATCCAGTGAGGTCTCTGTGGGTACAGTCGAAGACAATGTGGTACCCACTGGGTGACAGCTGTTACCGAGCTATCAGTTGGCGTCCTGAAAGAAAAGCTGGCAACGAAAAATCAGGCTCAGGCTAGATAATCAGGTCATCACAAGAATATCTAGGGGCCTCTGAGGAGCTAGTCCGGCAGAAAATAGCTCACCTGGTACCTGGATTTCTGGCAGCTACTAGAGCTTGGGGGGTGGGGGGGGGATGGGAGTTATTTCTGAGAGAGAAATCACCCAATGGCCAAAGTCCTAGGTCGTAGTTCAGCTAGGGGCCCGTCATATGGACAGGGGCAATGTAAAGCCAACCCCTTAGCCCAGGGAAGGCTGGCCAGACCCTAACTGGGCGTCCAGGGTTCCTCCCACCAACCGAAACTCCTTACCAATTAATATGCCAGTGTGTGTTTGTGGGCTTGTGCAGTCTGGTTTCACAAAAGGTAGAACAATGAAGTCTGTGTAGACCTGTATGGCTGCCTAGCCCATGTGGCAGAGCAGCACGTGGGGGCTGCAGCGGCACAGCTCACGTGGTGGCCGCAGTGGCATAGCTCATGTGGTGGAAGTTTCGCGAGCCTCTCAGTGGTGGATGGAGTTGGTCTGCAGCAGTGGTGGAAATTCACATGGTCGATGATGGCAGGTAGCAGCAGATAAAGTCCACATGGTGTAGTGGTGGCAGCGGTGGTGGGGTTGTGGCAGGATCGGTCTTGTACGGTCACAGCAGCCTCACAGCAGCCAGCTGTGGCTGCTGGTGGCTGCATGGGTCTTGCGGTTCCTGAAGTCTTCGTATCCAGGGTTTTGGCACCAATGTTAGACTTGGGCATGCAGCTTAGAACAGACAACAGCAGACCAAATGGTTCCGAAGGGAAGGGGGATTATTCAGGAGATAGGGAAAAGGAGAGAGAGCAGAGATATAGAGGAGTAGAGGCCGGCCTTGACCACGTGGAGATAGGGGAAAGGGAAGGGAGGAAGGGCAAGGAGAAGCTAGAGGCAAGAGAGTAAGAGAGTAAGAGAGCTATTACTTTCTTTTAAAGACATTTATTTAATTTCTTCTATTGAAGGAAAAACAAACAAAAAAAAGGACTCACCCTTTGACTCTTTTTTTTTTGTATAACTACTTCCTTTAAAGATTACATTCCTAAAAACACTCAGTCCTGAAGTGTTAGGGATTTGGATTTCAACAAAAAAATCTGGTTTCCGAAGTAAACACAAAGACAGGAACCAGCACTAGTCCTTGCTATCACCTCATTCCTTCCTTTGAGCACTCTTTTGAATATTCTGCCTAGAGTATGTAAGCATTTCTATTTCTTCTGCTGAATGGTCAAAGTACTGAAGCCGCTTCCCTTGGGCCTTTTATAATCCAGTCACTGGTAGAGTTTAGGCCTTCAAGTAAGTTCACTGCTTCACATTGTGGCTATAGGAGAATCAGACATACTAATAATTAGAGGCCCTTTCATTCCTTTCTGAATGAAATTATCAGAAAGTGAATGTTAAATGGACTGAGATAAGTCTGGACAATGTGTTTCAAGAACATGGATATGTTTCATATGGAAATGCTAGCATTACAAATTATCCTTTGTAGAAGTTCTCACTGAATAATTTTGTCGGGCACTGACTTCAGAGTCATGCATGTGTTATCTAGTAACCCTTGCAAGCACCAAATGCCAGTCAAAGAAGAGTATTAGTATTCCAGGGGTAAGTGGGAGTATAAAGGGGCTATAATGTTGTAGCACCAAGCATTTATTTACTTAGTACATGTCAAGGTCTCTTGGGAGGGAGGATAGCTGATAGCTGTAACTTGAACAAAGTAATATTTAGGGTCAACCTCAAGGGGAGATGCTATCCCATAGTATGACCAGTTTATATATGTGATGTGTAATGAGATTTATTAGCAGGAAATGATGTTTTTATACAGATTAGTTAAGGTAATCTACTCCAGGGTTTTCATGTACATGGCAAAAAGAAAGTGATTATTTCTATTTAAACTGTATCTTATTTTCTCAGGAACTTTTGGTTTAGGGAAACCATGGTATTTCCCCTTCACTGCATCATATTGGAAAAGCATATGTGGTCTGATGGAGAGGAGGCAGTGCTCTCTGAGTTCTGGTTTGTTTTTCTTCAATGAGGACTTTGGCAACAAAGGTGCGTGATCAGAAGCTCTATTGGATACATCTTCTCTGGTTAGTTTTGAGTTTTACTTCCATGTGAGCCTTTCATCTCATACAGATTCCAAGGCTCCCACATTTGGGTTATTCTGGGCTCTGCAATGACCACAGAGCTAAGTTGCAGTGCTCTGGTAGTGTCTGTATAAGCCTGAGAACCAGAGGATGGTTGAATCATCTGTTATTTACAATGTTCCTCTCTATGTATTGTCTATATTTATGCACATATTATAACTGGTTAAAATTCAAAATGAACAGTTATAAGAAAACCAAAAGGAAAAGCAGGCAACTATACCAGGTATAATATAATTTTTTTGAAAATAATTTTACACGTTGTAACTTCTATAATACTTCTGTGAATTAGAATATCACTTCATCTTAAAGTCAGCACATTTTCTTTGGACAGTAAAAGTCCTTAAACATAGGAGAGCAGATCTAATCATATCTATCAATCATAACCTTGGCCTGTGGGCCAGACACAAAGGCCATTTACAAGGAAGCCCCTGTAACTGGGGTTGGGCCACCATGGACCAGCTAGAGGCTATCATGCCAGATTTGTATTCTGAGTGAATACTTGAAAGTAATTTTAAACTCTAATTAACTGAATGGATTATAAATGGGTTAGCAAACTTAGAATATACCCAACTAGTTCCTATCATTTCTATGTCAGGAAAAGATTTCCTGTGGACACTGGTGTGTAACTAGTGTGTTTACTGTCTGTGTCTAGAAAACGCTTTGTGTGCATCTATTTTTATTTCATCATACAGTGGTTCTCTTATCATTAGAGATCAAAGTCTTGTCAGTGACTTCAGCCCATTTTGCCATTACATATCTTGCTTATTGTTTTTTGTAATAAAGGCTGTGGATCTTGGCATGCCTCCCAGAGCTAGAATCCCATTCCAAAAGAACAGACAGTTTGATAGTGTTGGCATTCTTTTCTAGCTTTTGAAATCTTCTCATGGTGAACATACATTCTCCACACAGGGCTCTCACAGCAAAATGGCCCAGGGGAGATGGAAGGGGGTAGCCCAGGAGTGGCTCTGATATCTGTGACCAAGGAGTATGAAGATCACAAAGTGGCTGTCCAGGAACTCACTCTCACCTTCCACAGAGACCAGATCACAGCTTTGCTGGGGACCAACGGTGCAGGGAAAACCACCATCATGTATGTCCCATTTTAGAGAATTTATTTTCTGTTCCTTTCCCCTTTCCTCCCTGTTTCTCTTTTCCCCTTCATCCTTACTCTTTCCTGCTTCTACTTCCATTTGTAGTTTTCCATTGTTGTTTTGCTTTGATCTCAATATAAAGGTTAAGTATTCAAAAGAAAGAACAAGTTCTCTATACAAAGACCCTCCCCTGGTAGTTCTCAATCATGTTTTAGACCTGGAGTAGATTCTGAGGAAAGAGGTAGATGGATATGTTTTAATACCCCAACATCTTTCCTCTCCTACAAGACCATGTATCATGCCTTTCTTTAATCTTTTAAAGTCTTTTGACACTTGCTGAAGTATAATTTTGTTTGAATAATTATAGAAAAAAAAGCAGAGAAATCTTTGCAAGCTTTAATAGTTTTTCTTTTTATTTTTTTCATCTTCTTTTCCTTTGGCCCTTTTCTTGCTAAGTACTGGGTTTTGGATTTGGATCCAATAGTTCCAGATTTGATTAAAGAATTCAATCATGTAGCCCTAGAGGGAGCAAAAAAGAGAGTTCAAATATCCATAGCCTTGAGCTGGTTGTGGAACGGTGCCTTATTTAAGGCCAACTGCCAAAATTATGGAGTGTATCTTTTGAACAAATCACTTCTTATTCTTTTTCTTACCGAATGTGCACAGGTCTAACATATGATTAGTAAGAAGGATGAGAAGGAAGTGGCTTCAACCTTAGTAAGAAAGGCAGAAAAATAATGTCTGTGGCGCTCTAGAAAGCTCTCCCTGGAAATGAATGAGAAGAAGAGAGCGTGGAATGTTTGCATTTGTACCTTGTGTGCTGAAACAGAGCTGGCAGTTGCTCTTTTCTTAGAACTTGCAAATTGGGAATGCTTGAGTTATGCAAGTAATAACTCAGCAAGCCTTTGCTAACGCACAGATTTTATGAGGAAAGCTTGGTGTGTTCATCTGGCTGAATGATGAGGATAAAATCCGAAGGTCCTGGGTGTTTCAGGGTTCAGTAACTACTTGGCTTTTAGTGACATTTGGAGTATGTTCAGAGTCATCTGAAGTGCTTCTTTCTTGCTTACTGGCAGTGTTTGGAGCCTGAGAGCCAATTACTAAACTGTATCTTTGCAATTTGAAACAAAATGCCTTTGAGACTTAGAGTTCATACAGGCGAATCTCAGTGTCCACAAATTCCATTTCCTTGCATTTGCCTAGCATAGATCCAAACTATCTGAAAAGTACTGCATCTGCCCTAAATATGTACAGATATTAGTTTTCTCATCAGTATTTATTCAACAATTTAATATATAGATGATTTAGATACATAGAAAGATTATATGGACTGTATGCATGCTGTTATTTTTGTACAATAAACTAGAGTATCTGAATTTTGGTATAAGTGGGTTATACTGGATCCAACTCCCAAGGATACTGAGATATCACTATATTTATTACCTTATTATATTCCCTAAATAGGTTTGGAAATGGATATAACAAAGAGTTGCTAATTGAATATTTCAAGAGATAATTTCTGTAGAGTTAGTGTCACATGGTTATGCAGGTTGTTCAGTGAGAGTTGACATATAGATGTAATGTCAGAGCAAATGCCACAGTGAAGATATACAACATTTCTTTTCCCTTTCAATATTTCTTTTGTCATCTTTTGGCCCTAGCTCCCAAGTGGCCATTGACCTACTATATTCGAATTCGCTTACTTATCCTAGAATTCCATATAAATGGAATTGTGTCTACACTATTTTACTCAGATCATCCCCCAAGTCTGAAACACTGTAGATGAATACAGTCACACTGTTTCCCCTGGGAGGTAGGGCACATTCATATGCCCACCTTTCATAGTGGGACACTCCAACATTCCCATGAATTCCTTATGTTTTAATTGACCATGTGGAAAGCTGGCCAATAGGAGGAGTGAGTTCCTTCTAGGCTGCATAAGCCATCTGGGATCCCAGGGGCTTATTGATGGTCACAGCATCCAGGTGTTGTTTGTGCTGATCTTTGTTCTCTGTAGATCCATGTTGATGGGGCTCTTTCCTCCCACGTCTGGAACCATCATCATAAATGGCAAGAACCTGCAGACAGACTTGTCTAAGATCAGAGAGGAGCTGGGGGTGTGTCCACAACAGGATGTTCTCCTAGACAATCTCACTGTGCGTGAACACCTAATGCTCTTTGCCTCCATAAAAGCACCTTGGTGGACCAAGAAGGAGCTACAGCAGCAAGTCAACAAGTGAGTAAACATTTCACTATTCCTCCTTTCCCCCCTTTGCCAACTTTGTAGGTAAAGAACACAGAGATATTAAATAGTATTATCTGTTTCTCTAAATATGAGAAGAAAAAAACAGCAAATGATTTTTATACATAGAAGCATGACAGAAACAACACAGGGGGTGATCTTAGAGAAGGCTTTTTTGAAAAGAACTAGATTTATCTGGATTGTCGTTGAAACAGAGGAAGAAATGAGGCAACTTGGGACTGTGGATAGGAAGGACATATCTGAAATAAAGGCAGCCTCTATCTGTCTTGAATGAGCAAAATACAAAAGGAGACAACTAAATGGGTTGAATGAACCTTATTTGGCATGCTAAAGAGCATCAAATTTATCAGGCATGTAGATGTGAATGAGCTGAGGATTGCCATCGGCCTGAGGTCTGGAAGGTAGATTTCTCTACACCCCAGCAGATGCACAGTCTCAGGAAAGACAGGGAAGCAGCAGCCTCTGCTGTTGTTTGCCTCCTTATTGAGATCAGCACAAGTGAAGAAACACTAATAATAAAGCTAGAATGACAGACAAAAGGCAGAAATCTCATTATTCCAGTCTCCCACCGCCTGGAGAATAGTATGGGCTACATCACAGGATGATTGTGGACATGAGTAGAAAAGGGGACACATAGGAAACTAAGGAGAAGACAGGTAGAGATATGGGTTGATGGGGAAGATTTGTTTTGTGGCAGCGAACAGATAGGGACTGAGGGAAGAGTAGGCCACTGGGGGATCTTGAGAGACCTCAGGGAATGGAGAATATGTTGTGTTCCCATTTGAAATTATCCTACCGAAGCAATATGGAGGCCATCTCCAATTTGCAAACATGGTAGCTGATCCTCAGAGAAATGAATGACTCATCCAGGGAAGTGATGATCTGCTCACTCTTACAAGCCAGGTAAGATTTGGTTGCTTTACCCAGGGTTGCAGCATGTTGGACCTGAAGCTTCTAGGGTGATAAGACTGTCATGGTAGGGAAGGAAGGGTTTCCAGGCCATTTTAGCACACTACCTTGGCTATCTAGCTCTGTGAACAGTCTGATGGCCTGAGAAGTGAAAATTGTTACTAACTATGATCAATAGGTCTAATGAATGTAGATGGTAGTAGCTTTAAAATTTAGTCAAGATATGTCCCTTAACATCCTTTAGTAGCTATCTTAAGGGGCTGAGGGAAGCCCCAAGTTCTTTGTGGATGCTTCCTCTAAAGCTTCTCTGAAGAGTCTTAACTGAGCAGAGTGGTCTGGCTATACACACAAGACTCAAGATGGATGGGGCTAGTTAGTGTTATGGATTGTCTTTTGTTATAAATAAAACAAAACAAGACCACACTTCCAGAATGTGGAATTTGCATATGTCTCAGGGGCCAGGAAATGAGAGCAAAGCATCAGGGGAAATCCCCCTGCAGCTCCTTGTGAAAGTCTCTTAGTACAAAGTTTCAGAAGAAAGTGACAGAGTGCTTCAGAGGAATGCACTGCTGCACAGGTCTCCTTTGCTCACTTTTGGAAGAGCTGAGTAGTGAGATCATTTCAACTTGTGATAGCTGCCTGTGTTTAGACACCAGCTATGAAAAGGGCATATGTAAAACAAATCAAATGTCCCCCTGGACAGATGCTCACTCTCTGAGGGTCAAATGCAAATCAAATTCAAACTCTTGGAAAAAATCCTCAGGGGACAGGAGCCCTTGTGGAAAGTGGCATATGGCACCACAAAGTTTGTATAAACATTTCTTTTTCCATTTCCTTCTTTCTCAAAATCCACCACATTGGAATGTTCTCTGCTATAAAATGATATTCTGTCTTCACACCATAATATTTTTTTTCAGAATGAATGATAGCATAAATAATGTAAATAACAATGATCTCTTCAACATACAGAGAACATGCTTAATTTGTAGTACTTAAAACCATCTCCAACTTGAGTTAGTCCTCAATATGAAAGAACTATGCTTTGTATGGACTACATATATACTAGATATACAATTGGCTGTGTACAACATATTTCTTTTTACTATAAAGGTGAAGGTCACTTGTTTCAATTAAAATTTCTTTTGCATATTTTTAGTTATCATACAAAACAATGGGTTTCATTATGACATTTTGATATATGCTTGCCATTGTACTTTGCTCCTCTTCACTTACACCCTTTGTCATTTTTGTTCCCTTTCTCTCTTGCTTATACTCTTCTGCCCCCACTAAAGTAACTGTTTTACTTTTATGTCAAGTATAGATGCATATATATTTAAATCTAGAGTCTACATACTTATTTAAATGTGAAAATCTGTGTCTATGTTGAGCCATATTGAATTCTACTGTGATTGAGACTGGGGGCTTAAATCAAGCTCCTGACAATGCTACATAGACTTCATTTTCTTATTTGGGTGCCAGGCAACCTTTAACAGTTATCAATTCACAGCATGTTACCTAGCAACAAAGCCAATTTACACAAAAGCAATCAGAATGAGATCATGTTTTAGGACAGTAGTTCTCAATTAGAGGGAGGGAAAACTGAAAACATCTGATTTCGAGCCAACATACTACTGATTAGTGTTCTGTAACACAGCTTGTTTTCCTTAAGGTCTGAATTCATTAACATGCGAGTTCAAGAGAGGTAGCAGATCTTGTAGAATCTGTGAAGTAAACACTTGTCAAGAGGCAGATAATAATTGTTCTCCTCTTTTGGTCTAAGGAAGATAAGAGTAGCCAAGAGAGGACCTTCTTTGGATCTGGGGTCATTAAGATGTTGTTGTATTGCTACTAACAAGAATTCTGGTGGACATTATGAAACATGGGTTGGGGACAGGTTATCTTGGTATAAAATGAGGTCAGTATGTGAAAGTGCAGCAGAGAGAAAATGATGGATTGAATCATGTCCACAGTTACCTGATGATGGTGTCAGATGAGGAAGAACAGGCCAAAAGAGAGTGGAGTAGGGAAGGAGGACAACCACTAAGTGATCCTGGCCCCTTAAGTAAGATGGGAAGGTTTGGTGCTTCAATTCTGTGCTGGGTCAAGTGAGATGAAGCCTGATACCTGATCTTTGCTTTGCTACATAGCCACAATTAATGAACTTCAAAAAAGAAGTTTAGGGGTGGATGGAGGTCTTTCTAGGTTGTTTAAGGAGAGAAGGCAAAGGAAGATAGTAAAAGCACATTTTTCTCAGCTTTTTTTTTCTTTTTCAACAGTAGCAGAGAACTATAATGATGACATATTGGGCAAGTGAGGTTACAGGATGATAGGACTTGTAGCATCGTGTCTGTCACTGCTGATAGTGGTCCAGAAGAGAATGAATTATTGCATGGAACTAGAGAGGAGATTGCTTGATGGACCATTGCTGGTTATGGGGCAGCTAAGGGACCTTGCAAAGAAGCTAAAGATGATCTCTCTAGAGAGCATAGTTGATGCAGCAATACAAGGTAGTAGGAGGCAAGGCAGACTGTCTGGAACCTTTATCAGCTTTCAGCATTATTTTAGAGTTAAGCATGCATATGCTGGGAATTGTTCCCCATGCTGTAATTTTGTATTTGGAAGGCAGAGGCTAGATGAGAGATTAAGAGCTCAAAGTCATCCTCTGTTGTATAATACATTCAAGATTAGCCTGGGCTACATGAGAACCTCTCTCATGAATACATATATGGATCAAGATAGAGATGCAGATGAAGATATGGGTTTGAACAGAAGTTCCCTGAACAAGTGAACAACAATCCTACTGGAAACATAAATTCTTAATCAAAGCTCCAAGGTATGGGATGTCTTCCTGTGAGTTATTTGCCAGGGATACCCTAGAGGTCCCTAAGACAATGGCGACTATTGCTACTGCTCATAGATGCTCACAAGGACTAGGTGGTAAGACTCCATCTTTGAAGACACTACATTAATTGGTTGCAGGACATAGAGAAATGAAGTTGGAACTGAAATTCTCCACTTTCCTGACTAGCGTTCATAGTCCTGGAGAGTGCAACTCAAGCTCCTTGGGAAGAAAAGTCATAAGTGGTCTTATTTAGCATGAAACTTGAGAACTACAGTACCAACTTGCCAGACAAGCTATGGCTGTTGTGCAGTAGTAGCATGATGGCTATGGGGGTTACCAACCACTTTCTTCTTGGAGTTGAGGTCTACACCATAGTAGGGAATTTATGCCTGAATCTGGAAGCTGGAAACTTTTCGAAGAGCCCATGGCTAGGGAGGTCATAGACCCTATAGGAGAATCTCATACTGTTGTTTTGTTAAGTGGATGTGGTATCAAACCGCTTTTAAAACATTTGTTTTTATGCCTGTAGAGTTGTGCTGTTCTCAGTTATGGGCAAGGAAGCTTCTCTTTGCAGTGGGCAAGGGCAATGAAGAGACTCATAACTAATCAAAGGGCCGAGAATTAGTGACTATCCAGTGCTCAGTCCCATATGTGATGTTGTCTTATCTCTCCCAATGTAAAGAAGCATTGAAGAAAAGAGCACAGGAGAATATAAGAGGGGGAAGACAGAGAGGGGTGCCATGAAATGCTGTCATCTGGATATGATATGTCCATAGTCATCATGAACTCCCAGTAGCTGTGGCTACCTGCATGAGACTTACACAAAATGAAGTTTGTCAATATTTTATCATGAATATGTGAGGGGTTCATGAGGCCCTACTCTTTCTGAAGGAGATGCAGGAAATTAATGGTTGCTGGAGTAGGGGGAGTTATTTTCTTCAGCAGTAGCCCATGTTCCAGTAAATAGCACCCCCTCTCACTCCTGCCCCTGCAGGCAACCCTAACTAAACTTGGTAGACCTAAACAAACAACAGTAACAAGCAAAGGCAAAACAACCAAACAAATAAGGAATCAAAAAGCAAAAATTAAAAAAGTAAAATAAAACAAAGACCACATAAAAGTAAGAGGCGACATGCTAGAGGAAGAAGAGGTTCTATGGGAGGGGGATAAGAGGGAGTGATGGGGTATGCAACCCAACAAAATACATTTATATATGCACAGAGTATCAAGGAATAAATAAACAAAGAAATGTAAGCAAACTGATTTTGTTGATAACCATGGACTTAAGGCTAAAGGGAAGAAAGCTTTAAGAGATCGAGAGAGAATGGAAATTGAGTTTTCTGTAGTGAAAGGGTTGTAGGGTATACAGTTGAAATGGAGATGTACTCAGTAAAGGATGGAGAGAAGTGAGATTCTGGAGGCAGGGCTGTGTGCTTGGCTGGGAAATAATTCCATTAGTGGAGGCAGAGAGGGGCTATGCCATGTTGAATGTGAAATTCCTAAGAATCGCAAGAAAGTAAATCTAGGAGCAGGTCAGTCTAAGAATACACCCTGGATGGGCATATGGCAGCAATATGGTAGCAGTGTCAGTTCTTAGTGACCTGGCTTCAAGGCTGGCAGTTTTAGAGAAAGTGGGGAAAAAAGAAAGTCATGATGAGTCACCTGCCCTACAACTAGACCTAAAAAGAGAGGGAGTATGACAGATATAAGACCTGACTCAGAGCCATTTGTCCCATCTTATCTAGGCTTCATTGTGTGGCCTCCCCTTTCCTGAAAGAATAGGATTTTTTGTTATGTTTTGCATATGTCATTCATTTCCCTCCAAGTCCTGGCAACTGTTTTACAACATTCCTTGGAACATGCTACTCAAACATTGCCACCTTGCCAAATCTCACTGTCCATCTGGCCAACTCTTTCTGCTACTTTCTTTAAAGTCAGAGGGCATTCCAGCAGAACCTGGGACTTAGCTTCTTTGTGTTTCATTGTAATTTCTTATCTGACTTTTCCACCTGACTCTGAGTTTCTTGAATCATAGACAAAATTTGATTTATTTCTCAGCCCGTAGTAGGTAGGTAACAGGTGCCATGCATTGTAGAGGTTCAATAAACTTTTGCTGTATAAATGAATGAATAATTGAAGAGAAGTTTTCAAACACATTTTTGGCACATAACTGGGACTTGATTTGAGGAAAAAAAAAATCTTTTCCAGTTCTGCTTAGCTATGTTCTTATTAGGGAGATTTCCTGTTCATTTTTACGAGAAATCAGAAATTTAAATTCATAGAAATTATCCATTTTCTTTTGAGTTGTCAAACCTCCATAATTAGAAAAACATTAGCCTTTGAGTCATTTTGGACTTTAAAATCAAAGAAAACAAAGAAAACAAAACAAAACGCTTGGACAATGTTTACAAATGGTTCACTTTTCTCTGATCTTATGTCTGCTCTAACCATGTTGGCACTCCCTAAAACCAGCAGGCTAGGAATGACCAGGCTTTGCAATAAAGTCCCACTGCAGTGCCAGAGGAAGGCTTTCATATACTGTCCTCAGACAATACCCCAAGGCCCAACAGTCCTTACAACATGGCTTTACCTGGAGAATAGTCAAATCTCTTGACTCCACTGACTTTAGCTGGTATTGTATTTGTTGATTTAAATGCCTGGGTACAGTTATCAACAAGGTCCATCCACATGGGATCCAGGGAATGCAGATACATGATACAAGCCCTGAGCACAATCCATAGAAGAGGTAAACAATAAGCACTTTGCTATAAGCACATGCAAGCTTGAATGTAATTGAGAGTTTTAAACTTGTCTTCTTGTTGATCTTCTAGGCCAACTCACTTGTCATTAATACACACTCAAAGGGAGTTAATGGGATCCTGTCCTTCATTGTGTTAGAATGACCCACATGGAAAGTTGGCAGAATGCAGAGTTCAGGCACTTGAACTGAACTGTCCTTTCTCCGCCTTCCTGCCAGGGTCCTCTAAACCATGGCGACACCTAGAGAACAACGCTTTATTTAGTCTGGCCTGAGATTTGGTAGAAATTTAGCAAGCAGGAAGTATTCTCTGAGTCTTGGATTAAACACAAACTGCCTTGGCTCTTGGCTGAAAACTAGACAGTAAGAAGCTGATTCGAGCACTCTCTGTGTGTCAGGCAGAAACGATGAGAGAGAATGAAGCTGACAAGAAGATTTTCCTTCTTCACCAGACAAGGAAGTCGTTGTCATTCACTTGTTGCTTTCCTAGGAATCTGGAAGCGTTCCAGGAGCCAAGTGTTCTCGAAGCTCAGCTGTGTGGAGCCCTTGTGATTCTCCTGTACCCTGCACCTGACTGGCAGCCCTCTCCTTCCTTGCTTCAGAGAGACCCTTACATTGTAGGCGGTCAGGAAGTGCTAAGGGAGGCCTGTCACTCATAGGGAGGGACACCACTCTTGCTGGTTAGAAAAGGTTTAAATGGAAAGACTTAAAGTAAATAATGAGAGTATGTAGCCATCATGTGGCCTGTAAAGCATAGTGGTGTTGGGACTGTGTGAGAAAAGAGATAAGAGTAGGACCTGTCACATTAAAAGTCTTTGTGCTGGCCAACTACTCCTGAGCATGGGGCCTGCTATGGAATGTGGCTGATGTACCTAGTGTTGTTCCATTGCAGAACACAGACTTTCCCTCTCTTAGAAGCTCCCAATTACAAATGACTTTGTGGTTGGGGGGTGGAGCAGGAGCTTTGGGTCTACTTACCCCTCTCCATCCTGAGGTTTTGTCTGGGTTGAACTTGTGCAGGTCTTCTGGATGCTGACACGATCTCTGTGAGTTCTTATGTGCACCAGTCCTCTTGTGTCTAGAAGGCATTGATTCCTTGTAGGCCTCCCTTACCTCTGGCTCTTAAAATCTTGTTATTCCCTCTTTTAAATAGATTCCTGAGCTTTGAGGAAAGGAATTTGACATCTCATTTAACCCTGAGTGTCACTGTATGCTGTTCAGCACAAAAAGGACTCCATAATTTTGTGTGTGTGTATTGTTTTGCTTTTGTGTTTTTTGCCTTTTTCAATTTTTATTTGATTGTCTGATTATCTTTTTCATAAAGGAAGAAAAATATAGAGTTGTGTGGATAGGAAGTTGGGAAGGATCCAGAAGGAGTTGGGGGAGGAAAAGCAATATGATCAAAATATATGGAAAGATATTTAAGGAAAATAATACAAAAAAGTCTTTTTGCCAGTTTTCTGAAATCTAGAACTCTCAAAACTGAAAGACAACTGGAGAATTATTCTAATGTTAATGATAATTGATGATTTCTACTTGATACAGGGCATCATTACAAATTCATGATTGTATAGTCAGTTAGATGGGGCCATTAAAATTTCAGGTAGAGTGGGCCAGAGAGTTCAAGGCCTCTGGCAAATCCTGGGGCTTTGTTCTGCTCATGGGCTGTTTTCTCTATTGTACTAGAAGAATATAGCCCCTTCTTTGCAGGAAACCTGAGTGAAAAGAGAGGAGACGCCTCTCTACAGAGTTGAACAAAGTACATTAGTACTTAGTCAGATACCATGACTAACATCATGTTTGATTCAATGACATGGTATCATCTGTCCACCTGGAAGGGCAATGCTACTATGCCTAGCACACATAATTCTTGACATAAGACCCCTATATGGTTTGTAAAGATCCCAGGTACTGTAAGCCATTATACATTACATGAAACCCAGAGAAAAGCTTTCTGGTGTTCAGGGAGAAGAATGAGAACATCCTTGTTTTTCCAGAACTCTTGATGAAGTAGAGCTAACTCAGCATCAACACAAGCCAGCTCGAGCTCTCTCTGGAGGCATGAAGAGGAAGCTCTCCATTGGCATTGCTTTCATGGGCATGTCAAAGACAGTGGTCCTGGATGAGCCAAGCAGTGGGGTGGACCCTTGTTCCCGTCGCAGCCTCTGGGACATTCTACTCAAGTACCGAGAAGGTAGGTGGTGAGATTCATTCCACTTTCTCCACAATGCTATGCTTGGGAAAAGGTTGTATTGTATGTATGAAGCAAGCCATATTACAATTGAGGATGTATGATAACTTTCAGAACAAGTAAAATATTCTGGTATTTTATGATATGTTTTGTTCACTAATATATTTAGAATACCTACTTTGTGTTTGATCTCTTAACTCAGTATTAGCAATGATACTATTAATGAGCTATAGTTATAAATGATGTCAGTTAAAACTTGTTTTGCCCAAATTATGCTCCATTTTAGAAGCATGAAGAATGAAAGGATGCAATTAGAAGTCACCAAGACAAACTTTCCTGAGTTAGTTGGCGTTCCACTGATGTGGCAGACAATTAACTTAGAAAAAGCCTGTTTGGGCTCACAGTTTCAAACCTTCCAGTAAATGAGTGGTTAGTTCTCATTCTAGGTTGCTTTCCTGTTACTGGGCCAAAGGCAACCTTGGAAAAAAAGGTTTATTTTAATTGTTATCATATACTTCCTGGTCATAATCTATCATTGAAAAAAGTCAGAGCAGGAACTCAAGACAGTAAACTGGAGGCAGGAACCATGCTTTTCAAACATGGTTTTCTGACTCATTCTCTGGATAATCTTTTACTTTCTCTCTTGTTTAGCTCAGGGCCACTTGCCTAGAGATGGTTTGGGAGCCCACAGTGGGCTGAACTGTCTCACATCAGTCATCAATCAAAACAACTCCCCACAACCATGCCCGTAGTCCAGGCTGATGTAAGTGATCCTGAATTGAAGTTTCTATTCTCAAAAGACTCTAGGCTTTTCAAGGTGGCAATTAGTGCTAGCTATGGACCCATGGTGGTTCAGTATATTATAGTAGATGGAGTAAGATGATCACATTATGATGTCAGAGAAGCAAAGAGAGGCCCAGAAAAGACTTGGTCAGAGGCCCTAACTTCCTTCTACCAAGCCCTACTTCTTAAGGTCCCAGTATTTCTCATTAGCAAGTCAGGCTGGCAAGAGGCCTTTACTACATAGACCTTTGGAAGATTTTTGAATCTAAATGATAGCATTTAGATCCTTGTATTATAGGAAGCTGAGGCACGGTGACATGGACATGTGATAGTCTCACATCTCTAGAGAAAGCTGGCTGACTCCATATGTCTTTTGCTATAGCTTATTTACTATTACAAGCATTGGATAGAGAACTTCTGGTTTACATCATCTGTTTCTATACTCCAGAAAGTACTGCAATAGGCATCTCATATAGAAACCTCCTTTGAACACAACATAGGAAACAGGGAGGCACATCTCAGTACTGATGGAGGACTGTCAAAACTTCTGAGGCAAGATTAAACACAATCTTATAAAATGTTTCTTTTCCTTTCCAAGCATATTACTTTACTGCAGCTTGATTTAAAACTTCAACTTCCTCAGGGGTAAATCAGAATTTGACTTAGGAGAAAACCAAGATAAAAGAACAATCAAGAACTTATCCTTTTCTTTACCATATAGGCAGCAGCTCTGTTCCTTCTACAATTCTGAGGCGTGACAGAAGGAAAACAGTGAGAAGCTGGGAGGTAGAGCCAGCAGATTCAGCTTAGTAGTCTCATGTGTTCTTGGTTTAGCTTGAGTGGCTGTATGGGAAGAATTTAGGTCCAGTCTTTGGAGCTGGCTCACAGGTCAGGATGCTGAGTAGAACTCAGCCCCAGGGAAGCATCAGGAGCTGGTTTGCTCATCCTTCCCTGACCCTCAGCTGCAACACCAAGAGGGAGCCAGAGCTTGTGAGAAATGCTGGCCTTGAAGCTGTCTTGCTGGAGGCCAGGGCACATTTCAGAGTCTGCAGCCAGAATTCCTCAGATAATCTGGAGGCATAGCATATGAAACACTCTGGTCTGACTCCTCTAGGAAGTCCCTACTCAATCTACAAAGGCTGGGAGTAAGAGGACGGTGCCTATTGGCCTCAGTCATCACACACAGACCAAAAGAGATGAGATACTTTTCACCCCTAACCTTAACTGTTCCTTCAGCCTCTTTGCTTCATTTACCTGTATGCCCTTTGGGAAAAAGGGTCCAAAATGAGAAAATGTGAAGCTCTGATGAAAAACATTGGTTGAAGCTTATGGGCACTGATTAAAATTTGAGATTGGATTCCTGACTTTCCTGCCACGTTGAATGGGAGCTGATAAAGAAAATGGATGAGGGTTAGATAAGTGGATTATAATGATCCTGCCCTTGTGGATTGTCCAAATTAAACACTGTAGTTCCACTACTATTGTTTGATTTAAAAATCAGAGATAGAATCATTCTTAATATTCATGTTAACTGTATTTTAATGATTTATAATTTTTCATTTAAAATTTTTATTGGAAAATTTCAAATATATATATATACACACATACACACACACACACACACATATATATATATATATATACATATATATATGTATATATATATATATATATAATTAATTTTGAATAAACTCATCCCCCACTGCCTCCCTCCAGTTCTCCCTACCTCACGAACACATTACATTTCCAGCTTTACACTTTAAAAAAGATAGCTCACTGAGTCTATCTAATACTGTACACATATGTATGAGTGTGGTGTCCTCTACTGCAACATAAACAACTTTATATTAGTCATTCCCTAAAGAAAAATGACTATACCTCTCCTAGTGACTGCAAGTAATTATTTGGGAACCCTCTCCTCTCTCTATTCTGAAATTTGTCTTAACTTTTGAGAGTTCCGTACATGTATATGATGAAATAGTATATGTACTTCTCCTTTCCACCTCCACCTCCTTCTGTGTACTCCCCAACATGCTCCCTTCCAACTTCATGCCATTTCGTTGTTGTTGTTTGCTTTATAACCCATTAAGTCCAGTTAGAACTGCCCAGAAGTGCATCAGGCTGGAACCATCCACCAGAGCATAGAAGATCTAGTAGTGGTCATCTCCTCAAGAAGGAATTATTTTTCCTCCCTCATCAGCAACTGGATTGACCTTGTGCAGGCAGCCACACTGCTGTGGGGACATATGTGTAACAGCCACACAGTGTCCAAAGGATGTCATTTCACAGTTTTCTTCTCTATCTGTTAGCTCTTTCTTTCTTGAACGTTTAGCTGATGGAAGGTTTAAAGTTTAAATAATCAGAATAAACAGATGCCATGCAAGTCTGAAAACAAGATTGTCTTCATTAAATTCCGCCGTTACACCCTTTGTTGTTTAACAATGATTATTTTTGTCTTTGGAAGACTCCTTTGGAACTGGTGTTGTACTGATTGAAGTACAAAATTAATAGTCTGTAAGAAGATTAGCTAGAGAGTAGTAAAAGGCAAACATGTCTTCAAAAATGAAAATGTATAGCCATTCCTGTAAACAGCCTCAAAGCTTCTGGCAACTGGCAGAGCTTTGTGAGAAAGATTTAAGACAGTGTGCAAACAAATGTTAGCTGCTGAGTAGAAAAGAGACTTTCCATCAGAACACTGTGTGCAAGGTGCTCGATCTTTTGGGAATCTGTTGTGTGTTTCTTGCTTTATAGTGAGCAATGTGAGCCTTTGATCAGCCTTGGTGCCAGCACTTCAGTGTGTCCTGTGGGAAGATCAGTAATAAGGCAGAGACAGCAGTCCAAACTGGCATATTGCAACCACATGCCTAGACCAGACTGCCTGTACATTCCCTTTGTGAGGTTGGAGAGATGGCCACATTCTTCTCTGTTGCAAAAGGAAACTGTCTTATCAGCTCTTAGGTCTCTCTGTGTCTCTGTCTCTGAAACACAAGACATTAAATATATTTTTTAACATAGTACTATTTTTATTGATTATTTGGAAATTTCACATAATATACCCAATCAACATCCATTTTCCAGTTCTCTCAAGTCCACCCTTGTGACCTCCCCCAAAACAAACAAGAAAAGGAACAAACAAACAAACAAACAAACACAAGTCCAATTTCTTCCCTACTCCAAACCCACCAGAAGCCTTCAACTAGGAAGAGCTACATATACTTCAGCATCCCTATTTTTAAAAGCTCCCTTCAATGGCATCCTGTTTAAACTGTTTCGTTTCTTTTGGGAGAAAGGGTGAGGGGAGAGGTTGACACAAAAGCTTTCTTTGTCTCTTATTCCCAACTGTGAGTCTGCACTCTTCAATACCACTGCAGAAGAAATGCTTTCTCCAAGAAGTCAACAAACTGTTTACAAAAGTGCATGCCTCAGTATTTGGTGTGTCGATTCTCCATATACGACAGGGTATTACCATTTTAAAACTACATAAGAGATGAATTCTGGAAATGCCACTTTGGAGAAGAACTTCTGGATAGGGTGGGCTGCACCACCCGAATCAGTACAATAAGCTAATGGTTTTGGGGAATATCCTTTGAGAGTAGAACAGCATCTCAGGTTCTTGTAGCATCCACCAGGGGCCATCATGGATCAAATATTCATGACTGTGATCTAAATTCTCTGGGAATTACTTTCTTATCTTTTCCAGCTTTAGTAACGTGTAGTTGACAAATAAAACTGTACATATGGCATGATGTTTCATATTTATATGCATAGAGAAGATTAAACAGAGCTAGTTAACATGCCCATCACCTTACAAACATATATGGTTTTGGTGTGTGTGTGTGTGTCTGTGTGTGTGTAGTACTGAAAGACTAATCTCTCAGTAATTTTCATAATGAGTACCTATAGCCACTGTATTGTGTAACAGATCTGAAAATTACTAAAGTTTGTGAGATTTAGCCAATGTCTCTCTGTTCCTCTTTCTGTTCTCTCAGCCACTTACAGTACCCTTTTGTCCTTAATTTTCATTGAGAATGTGGGCTGAGTAGACTTCTATTTTTAGACTATTGTATTGTATGGTGACATGCAGCCGAACTGCATGGTAGCTCTAATCAAAGTAACTAGTCTGCCTCTGATGATCTTAGGTCAGACAATGAGTATATTAGCATCCAGGGACTAGAAGACATAAAGCTATTGTCTGGGGTCTTTATAGTACATCTATAACAAGAATTGGCACTGGGCACTCCACTCTCTATTGTTCTTTGCACTACACGCCATTGTTTCTTTCTAGGTGGACTCTAAAAATTAACTGAAAGCCAGATATTGTTGCTTGCTCCCCAGCAATCTTAAGGCTGAAATAGAAATATTGCTGTAGTCTTGAAGTTAGCCTGGGCTACATAGTGATCTCTAGACCAACTTTGGCTACCAATTGAAATACAACTCAAAATTAAAATAAAAAATTCAAGCAACAATTAAAAACAAACCCAAGGAAAGAACAAATGAATAAGACTTTTAACCTTTTAATTCTTCTCATTTATTTTCATAATTCAAAATATTTCATATTTTCATATTGAGAAACATGAACTTAAGTAGACTTAGAATTATTTGTCATTCTCTATTTAAAAACTTGTTCTTGAAACCAAAATCAAGGAATATGCTAATTCAATTTGATAGGTCAAGTAAATGAGGCTCAATTTGACCCAATGGTGAAAGTAGCTAAAAGCAAGAACATCATGTATTTACATAGCTGAAGTAACTTTCCTCAGATACCTTTAGTGTCTCTTGTTTCTGTTCTCCTAAGGTTAACCAGAGTCTTTTTTTTTTCTCCAGAAGGAAAGGTAATGAATTCTCAAATTCATTGTAGACACATGTACATTTAACATGTGTTTCTGTAGAAGGAAGGCACAGTGCTGGACTCATCCATATCTCTCCATAGGAAGGCTGGTGACTTAAGTTTCCTCCCCCAGCTACAACAAGTGTCTCCCATATTCGTTGAGAACAGGGTTTCTGAGTGATTTCTAGCATGAAGTGTGTGTTTTGATGCTATTACATCTAAGCCCTAGAAAATGAAGCTGCTAAACTCAGGGCCTTTATTGCATAGCATGTGAAAACAGCAGCATGCGAAAATAGCTGTCATGACCTTTTGGGATACTATAAAGGACACATTTTAGAATCTAATTCTCAAAAGTAGACGTGGCTAGGTTTTTACACAGCACCATTCTAGCCTCCCCCCCTCCAATTTAAAACACTGGTGACTCTTTTAATCCTGTCCCAACCCACCATTTGTAGGAAGGAGCCTCTGTAATGCTGGTTCTGATGTGTCATGTACTTGGCCACAGGTCGCACAATTATCTTCACAACCCATCACTTGGATGAAGCTGAGATGCTCAGTGACCATGTGGCTGTTCTCCAGCAGGGGAGGCTCAGATGCTGTGCTCCTCCTGCAGGCCTGAAGGAGACCTATGGCCAAGGACTCACCCTGACACTCAGCAAGCAAGTAAGCAGTACAACTCTTTTATTTCACTGGGGAAGCCCTGTCTGACCATATCACCCAAAACCAAACATGGCAATTGTACAATAGTAATGTTTAATTGTAGGCCTTTTGTGCACATTGTCCCAGGAGTCTTACAAACTCTTTTCAGGCCTGGGCACTGAGGAATATCCTCTATGAATGCTAGGGTGCCTTTGATCTTCCATTAAAAAAGGGGAAAGAGAGATCAGAGTGTCCTGATAAGTAGGAAGAACATTTGCCAAGAAGCACGATGGTTGAAGTGGTCTTAAATCATTTTGACAGTGATAATCCCTTATGGAGACTAGAACCTTGCCTGGTGGAGAGGCAGAGGAGTGGAGAGATGGAACAATTAGGGTCAAGGCTAATAAAAGCTAAGTCACATCTGTAGTTATCATTGCCTATAACCAGCCAGAACAAAAGCAGGGACCCTGGCATTAGAATCCAGAAAGTCACTACCCAGGTCTTTATGACTGTTTTATCCTTAGTGACCCTCAAAATTGCTGCCCATGACTTCATTGAGCCATAATTTATCTTTGGCTTTTATCTAGTTGAGGTGATTATATTGCTATCCAGAGAGAGCTTCCTTTCTCTTTGGCTAGGAATCCTAGCTCTCACTTTTGGAACACTCAAAGCTATTCTCTGCAATCCAGTTGCTAGGATTTGAGTCTCCATGATGATTGCTCTGGGAAGGAGATCATCTCTTCAATTCAGAGCCTTGGAAGTTGGTTGCAGAGCATTTGGAACCAGTGTGGGCACATGGGTCAAATGTAGGCTCACCAGGTTAATCTCTGTTGATTTATGATTTATAAAATAGAAGAAAAGGGGATTGGAGGATGACTCAGCTGCTAAAGTGTGTGTCCTGCAAACATGAGGCACTGAGTGAGATCACCAGAACTTATACTAAAATACCAGGTTTGATGACATACACCTGCAGTCTGCTGAACCAGCTCACTGGCCAGGCAGTCTAGCCTAATTAATGTGCTTCAGGCTCAGTGAATTTTAAAGGAGATAGACAGTTTTCCTGAGAATGACTCTTGAGATTGTCCTCAGGCTTCCATAGTGGTGCACATAAACCTATGTGCACAGACACATATATTTAAAAGGAAGAGAAAATATGTAACAATTCATGAAAATGTTCTCTCCTGCTTGAATGCAGCAATATATCCTTGTTTTGAAACAGACATGTGAAATGATACATTTATGAGTATATTATTCAAGAACTCAGTGTTTGAAGTGATCTGATTGCTTTCTAACCTATTTTTCTTTCTGGAAGCCCTCTGTCCTAGAAAGCCAGGAGCCCAAGGATGTGGCTCGTGTTACATCCCTGATACAGGTCTATATTCCACAAGCATTCCTCAAAGGTAGCAATGGAGGTGAGCTGACCTATACCATTCCCAAGGATGCAGACAAGTCTTGCTTTAAGGGTCTCTGCCGGGCTCTGGATCAGAACTTACAGCATCTGCACCTGACAGGGTTTGGGATCTCAGACACCACCTTGGAAGAGGTACATGCTCATAATTTCATAAATATACATTCATGGTTTATGTTTCCACCACCAGTTCAATATTCAGATGTGGCTAAATGGAGAAGAGATGGAAGCCATTGTATTTATTTATTATTTATTTTCAATCCCTGATTAGGAGATTATGCCAATCACCCTTTCCTATTGCTGTGATCAAATATCCATGGCAAAATTAACTTAATGGACATAGGATTTATTTTGATGAACAATCCCAGGATGTATGGTCTACATTTGAGGAGAAGCCATGGAAACAACAGGAGGCAGCTGGTACCATTGCACCCACAATGGGAAAGGAAAAAGTGATGACTGCTTGTCTTCAACTAGTTTACTCCTTTAGTTTTACATCCAGGATCCAAACCCAAGGAGCAGAGTAACTCACTTTCAGGATGGGCCTATCCATGTCAGTAATCCTAATAACGATAGTTTCCCGGAAGCACTTTCAGAAGTCCATTTACCTAGAGATTCATGATTTCATCATATTGGCACCTGAGAAAAATTGTCAAAGTCATGCATATTGGGATCCCAAACCAGGTTTTAACATACACCACTGGTGACTACTTTTAAAGCAAATAGCATTATTATATTTGATACCTAAGGTGGGTTTGTTCTGGAATCTGTAGATGACCAGTCAGTATTCAGTAGTTGAGGTGTCTGACTCTTCTCCATGGACTTCAGTTTTGGAGCTATGTTCACACACTGGGTAAACAAATGTCAGATGCTCTACCACCCACATGGTATTGAATGCTGGCCTGCTTGCTCCCTGTCATACTCTTTATTCTGCTCCCTCTTTACTGTGATATCTGACATTGTCAGTTCCTGAGACTGAGCTGAGAACACCCACTACTCAGTGCTGTCTCATCAGAGTGGCCAGCCAGGGGTTTCTTTGTATTTCCTTTGAAGAAAAATGCTGGGATATTAAACCTAATATAATACAATCCTTATATGGATCTGTAATATTACCTCTACACGTGAGCTACAGGGAAACTTAATTTTGCTTTGCTATTAGTTATAAAAAGCGCTGCAGATTAAAAACTAACAGAAGAACAGAAAATTAAAATTGAGATAGGCAAGGAAGCACTGTTATAGCCTCTCTAATTTAATTTACTTGTTTCACGAATAACACTAATGCCCAATTATTTTCCTTTTTCCTTTCCTTTCCTTTCCTTCCCTTCCCTTCCCTTCCCTTCCCTTCCCTTCCCTTCCCTCCCCTCCCCTCCCCTCCCCTCCCCTCCCCTCCCCTCCCCTTTCCTCTCCCTCCCTTTCCTCTCCTTTCCTTTCTTTCCTTTTCCCTTCTTTCCCTTTCTATTCTTTCCTTTACCTTCCCTTCTCTACCCTCCTTTTTCTCCATCTCTTCCTCCCTCCTCCTCCTCCTCTCTCTCTCTCTCTCTCTCTCTCTTTCTTTCTTTCACTCTTTTCTTCATTCATTCTTCCTTTCTTTCCTTTTGATTGTTATCAGTAGGCTTTATGAATCTGAACCACATACAGAAACTTTGGATGACTGTAAGAATTAAAACAGCCAGTTTTGTAAGTTAGAGTGAATATTAGAATGGATTTAGGAGTTTGTGGTCCTAAAGCCAAGGCAATCCTTGGGAAATCGTTCATTGTACACCTGTCTCTCTTCCTCAGCAGTAGTAATGTTAGTTCAAGGATCCATAGTTTACTATGTCCAGTAAACATAGTTCAGCAGATGTACATATTTGGTATAGGGAGTGAGAAAGAGAGGAAAGAGGGGGGCAGGAGGGAGAAATCGTACCTATTTGATTTTTATTATAGTGGATAGTTGTTATTATTCTACTTTGCTTTTGTTAGTTGTTGCTGATAATTTCTTGTTGTGATTACTTTATAAACTAGACTTTACCTTAGGCATGCATTAGGGAACAAAAGTTCAAATGCAATTTCTGTAACTGTGGGTTTAAGTAATTACAGGTTGCAACTATTCAGAAATAGCACTGACTGTATTGAAAATATGCAGACTTTTTATTGTCATCTTTTCTCTGGAGATTAATATAGCAATTATTTATCTATAATGGCTACCTTGTATCTGGCATGATATGTAGTCTAGAGATGAGTTGTTGTATATTATAGAATTGTCAATAGGTTAAATATGAACCCTGTACCATTTTGTGTAAAAGGCTCAGGCAACTCTGAATTTTACTGTCTATACTCACCCTCCATGAATACTTGATGACAATTATTTGAACTATTTGTCTGTAGAATTCAGGCATAATATAGAATTACAATATTGGCTATAGAATACATCCTCCATGGGCAAGGGAGGATTGCTAAAGACCATAAATGATAGTGGCCACCATTCAATTTGTCTGAAGTCGATGTCCATAGATGAGTATGGAACAAGAATTTAGACAGCTTTGTAAGGTACCTGCTTTTCTATTCAGAACACCATTAACTCTTTATAGATGGTATTATTCCTATTTCTGAGTAAGAAATCTTGATTGGCTGATTTCTTTACCCCAAGTCACACAATGCATAAATGATGGATCTGCATGTGGACTGATACTTTCTGGGAATGAATTCCATGTGTTGAAAATGGATGGTCTTGGCAATGCCCTTTATTGTATTAACTAATAGGGCAAGGGGATGGCAGTCCCCACTGTCCCCACCCTGTCCTTGTTGATAAAGTAAGTAGAACATATAGAACGAAGAAAATATAAAACAGTCTAACAAATGCACATGGTGTCTATGAGCTGCTTTCTGGAGTCAACAATGATTGCTATAACCATGACCCTATATCATGCTGGATGTTTTCTGCTTTTGTTCCAGAAGCCTTTATATAAGTCCCACTTGGGAATAAAGTCTGAAAATCTGACTCTCCGCTATTAAATCAGAGCTTTCTCCTTGTCCCCTCACTGCCCACTGTCTTTTCTTCATGATACTGTCCTGATAAGTTCTGTGATTCCTTTGTGATGGCCCAAGGAGATGGAGCCCTAGCAATGGGAACACTATTTTTTTTCTGCCACCCTCCAAGCCAGCAGCAAAAAGAGTACACCATGTTCTGAGTGCTTGCCTAATGGGTATTTGCTGAATGACTCATGTTAATCTTCAGAGGAACAATGACAAAAAAACTGCACACATTCAGTATAAACATGGTGTTCCTTCTGAATAGGTGCAACCTGAAATTACCCAAACCCACAAATATAGAACCTATATTTACACATGTTTCAGAAGACATGGCTACCTTCTGAGACAAGTTACACTACAAAGAGCATCAGCATCACCATGGACAGTTCTGCTTCTAAATATTTATTTCATTTTATGTATACAGATGTGATGTGAATACATCCAAGTGTATATATGTGAATCACATTCAGGCATGAACCCTTATAGGTCAGAAGAGCATGTCAGATCCCCTGGAACAGGAGTTAAAAGCAGTTGTAAACTACCACCATGCAGAGGTTGGGAACTAAATCTGAATTCTCTGGACTTAGGACTATCTACATAGGGTTTGGAGCAATGGTTTTGTGGATAAGAGCACTTGTGGCTCTTGGAGAGAATTCAGAGGATGTGGGGAAAGGAATGTTTTTATACTGCCAAGAAAGTCAATTAGAGGAGCCACTGTAGAAATGAGTGTAGAGATTTGTCAATACAACTACCATGTGATTCATCTGTATCGCTACTGGAAGGACTCTAAGTCATCATATCAGAGAGGTATTTGTATATCTGTGTTTACCAAAACACTATCCACAACAGACAAATTGAGTAACTGGTATAGTTGCCCATTAATTGTTGCATGTCTTTTTAAAAAAATCTGTGGCAGATGCACATATTGTAGTCTGATTCAGGTGATAAAATTATGTTAATTGTAGGAAAATGGGTGCAGCTAGATATCATTATGCTAAATAAAGACAAGCTATACCAAGAAAGAACACTGTTCACTTCCTCTAATATTCAGAATCTAGGCTTTAAAAACAGACTTGAAAGGGGGCATTATTTGGGAAGAGAATGGGCACCAAAGAATAGAGGATAGGAGAGGGTATACAGAATGAATTTAAGTATACAATTTATTTGAATGACTATTTCATGAATTAATATGGTATTAAAATCTAAATCAATGAATAAGCAAACACACATACAAGAAACAAAACAATTTTCATTGATATTCTGAGTATAAAAAATTATGGTTACATGACTTGGGCAAAAGAGTCAAAATGGTAATGCCTCCTGTCATCTGTGGGGAAACTGTCACCTCTTTAGTGTGACAGTAGAGTTAAATCATGCCCATGCTCCCAAGTTCACTTGACCTTCAGGGACTTTTGATAGATTAAAGCCTTCCCTGCACCAAAATAGAAGACCAGGGCACATCTGAGCCTTCTTTTTCTTTGATTGCATGAGACTGGATTGGTCAGTTGTCCTGCCTGCAGGCAAGTTTACAGGCCTGTGGTTCCCTGAATTATATACTCAAATGTGGCTAAAACACCAACTGTCACCATTTCAAATGTTTGGAAAACAGTTCCAAGTATTGGAAAAGAAGGCTAGGATTTGAATGGTTGGGTGCTTGAGGCAAAACATTGTCAGTTTCTCTATAGATACAAAGTCCTGTCACCTTTAACCAAGATTTCATAGTCTAGGTCTTTTGGACTAGAAAGTCAGTCTGTTCTTAGTGTCTGTTAGTTTACTGGCTGTTTTGCATTATCTAGTACTGAGAAACTGAGCTCAGCTTAGGGCTAAAGCAAGCAGGAGACCTGTGCATGTTGGGGACAGAAGACAAGTCAGTTTTTTTGGATGAAGAACTCGTATCATTAAAATTACACATTCACCTCAATATGCAGATACTTATCTACATTCACACCTATATTTCAGGAAGAGTGGGCATCCCTTTCATGTAATTAGTATTCTATGTATATAATCAAAAAAGAGACTTCAAAAAGTTTGTTAGTCTTTATCAAGAAGAAGAATGAAACTAGGGAATGCTTGCCTTTCATGTTTTATGAGTTAAAGTACTTTAAAACCATGAGGCAGGTCTT